TCCCTGGAGAAGGACATCATGCTTGGATGGTTAGAGGTACAGGCCAGGGGAGGAAAACCCTGGATGAGAAAGACTGACTCAGTGACCAGGGTATTGGGAGTAGGTGTGTCAGAAGACCATGAGATTGGCTCAGGATAGGGCAAAGTTCAGAGCTATTTTACACAGGGTCACTATATGTCTTAGGTAACTTGAGGACACATAATAATAAAACACATTTGTATATATCTCTAATTAACTGAACTTCATAAACCTTTCTTGAGTTCCTGCTAGGTAATAAGTACCATTTTAAGAGGTTGGTATATAGCTAGTGTTGTCAGGTGTTAGGAAGGTAATCCTGACTCATAGCAACCTCATGTATAATAGAATGAAACACTCTCTGGTCCTGCCTCATGTGCACTATTGTTACTCTGAGAAAATGCAATGTATTCATATAGTTTTTGTGAAACTTATATTCTAGTAAGAGTAGATAATAAACAAATATACATGTTAATTGGTGATTAGCATTGTAGACGTAAGGCAGAGTGAAAAGGGTTGTAAATGCAGGGTGTCGGGGCTAACTAATATAATTAGGGCAATCAGGGAAAGCCTTTTTTAAAGGTAATGGTTTAATTTAATACAGAAGAGTGTGAGATATAAATCATAACATCCCTGGGGCAAGAGTTATATATGAAAAATATATCTCTGTAAAAATATAAAAGTCTGGATTTAAAAAAAAATATTCCACAAATGAAGACAAAATCTATCACTTAAAATACATATGAAATATTTTAAATTTCTCAACTTCATAAAATAAATATTAGTACGAGATTATTAATCAAAGCTATCTAAAATTTGTGAAATGAAAGTTAAAGGAAAGTTGTTAGCTAAACTTAATAAAAGCTTACCAGGTTCAATAAATCCAGCAAGGCAAGTGAACATCTCTGGAGGAAATCTTTTCTGTCTGCCTAAAAGGCATTTGGTCCCATCTGGATGAATAACTTGCATGATTACTACCGGATCTTCAAAAACAAAATAACAAGAAAAACAAAATATCTAAATTATAGGGGGAAATAGATTTATCTTGCGAAGTCTTCATTTTGTAGGATAATATAAAGATATCGCCTATGGGAATAAGACTCTTAGAAAATTGTTTCTGTCTGCCATGATACAGCTGATGACAAAGTTTTTAAGGCAAGTTGCACAGAGTACTGTCAGTAAGCTAAAAGATGAACATTTTCACACACCTTTCCCTATTTTAACAACAATATTTATTATATCCATGGAACAAAAAACATATTCTTAGTTTTGAACTATAATTTGTTTATGTAACACTCTAAAGTACTCAAGAGCAACGGTGTCTCTCTGGAGACTAAGGTGCACCTGATACAGGCCATGGTCTTTGCAATCGCTTGTTATGCATCAGAGAGCTGGACAATGACTAGGGAGGACAGAAGGAGAATAGATGCCTTTGAGCTGTGGTGCTGGAGAAGAGTACTGAATGTACCATGGACTGCCAAGAAAACAAACAGATTCATCTTGGAGAGGGTTAAACCAGGCTATTCCTTGGAGGCAAGGATTCTGAGGCTTCGTCTGACATACTTTGGACATGTTGCAAGGAGGGACCAGTCCTTGGAGAGGGACATCATACTTGGGAGAGTGAAGGGACAGAGCAGGAGGGGAAGACCCTCTATGAGGTGGATAGATTCAGTGACTGGGGTAATCGGGATGGGTGTGTCAGAGGCAATGCGATTGGCAAAGGATAGAGCAGGGTTTAGGGCTATTATACATAGGGTTGTTATGAGTCACAAATGACTCAACGGCACATTAACAACAACAACAACACAGGGACATGATAAAGACCCAAATGTTATTATAGCAAATTAAGTAAATTTCTATCTCCCTTCTATGTTCATCCTTAACAAAATGGTTTTAAAAGCTAATATATGCTCATTGATTTTTTACATTTTTTTTAGCCATTACAGTTTTTTGAAAAATGAGAGGACATCTTACTAGAAGTCCAGTGAATTCTCCTCACTTGATCATGATTGATAATTAGGAATTAAGTGTAAAACACTTTTCAGTAGCAAAAACAGATGTTACTAAGCCATATAGTTTACTCCCAGGAGATTCTTCTCAAGTGTTGCTGAGTCTATTTTTCCCCCTACAGCTTTAAAGAGCTGTGTTATCAGATTTGCAAACCCAGAGCAGACTCAAAAGTAACAATAAGGAAGAGGAGAGGAGGTACAAGCAGACAGCAGCAGGAACATAAAGCTAAAATCCAGGCTGTCACACCTTGTTGATGCCTGAAACAGGCATTAAGTTACTGGGCCTTTTTTTCCCTCTTCATTAAGTTGATCCAGACTGCTAAAATTTTTGAAATAGGATATCACAATATAGCAAGTCTATATTGATTAACTGAGAGTTAAGAAATCCAGAAAATATACAATATTTTAATATTCATAACCAAAATGATTAAGCATGATTTTTTAAAAGATGAACTCATCACTTCCTCAAAAACCTGTTTTACAACTTTTTCCAACAGGGTGAAAAGAAAACCAACTAACTAGGAACAAACATTTGGTAATACCATCTCAGACAAGAGTCTTACAACAAAAATTTACAGAATATTCCTTGTCTTCCACAAGAAAAAGACTGATAACTCAATTAAAAAATGGGCAAAACACGTGGAAAGAATTTTTACATAGGAAGATACCTGAAAGGCAAAAAGACACATAGAGAAATGTCACTGGAAATAAGAAAGATGCATCAAAACCACAATGAGGTACCATCTCACTCTAGTAACAATGGCAAAGTTTAACAGGGCAGCAAATAATAGATGTTGGAGAGGATGTGGTGAGAAAGGAACTCATATATTTTTGGTGGGGTTGTAAGATGGTACAATCCCTCTGGAAGGCAGTTTGGTGTTTCCTTAAAAAGCTGAACATAGAAATTCCTTGGAACATACCCTAAAAAAATGACAACCCAGGCACAAACAGATTCATACACCAATGTTCACAGCAGTATTATTCACCATCTTAAGAGCATGGAAACAGCCTAAATGTCCAACCGCAAACAAATGGATCGAGAAATGATGGTACATTCATACAATGAAATACTATGCAGCACACAGGAGTAACGATTTTTTAAATTATTACCTAACTTGGGAGGGACTGGAGAGCAGTATGCTGGCTGAATTAACTCAGTCGCACAAGGATAAATATTGTATAAAACCATCATTGTAGAATGAGTATAAGGATCCAAGGGAGGGAGCCGGGGAAGCAGAGGGATGAGCATGCGCAGGTGGAGGGGAGAATTAATCATGGAGTTGTACAATTTGACAGGGGGAAGGTGAGGGAAATTCTGGAAAAATCTGTTCTCGAAAATAATTTTTAAATAAACTAGTATAAAACAAACACAACAACAAAAAAATTGTTTTACAGAATATTCCCACTGATTCCAAGGGTTGAGATTTCACTGTAAACAAAAAGACTTACCCACTCTCGGATACGATGTATTGTGAACACCATGGAGGCTAGGGCAGTCTTCTTTTAAACATACTCTTTTATAGCCGCCTTCGTCAATCTTAGTTGCACTTCCACAGGTTGGGCAGAACTTATATCGACTGTGCCAGGCGAGAACAGATCTTGCTTGGGCAACAACCCCTTTAAGAGACGGCATAAAAAAAAATGTTAATTCTGTAACAATTGTAAATAAAAAAGAACAAAAGCTCAGGCAAAATATTCTTAGGGAATAATAATGATACCTTATTTTCTGGGTGTCTATTGACAGAGATGAACTATTGACTCAGATGACTCTAATCAATTATTCATTGCAAATATCTCTTTGAAAAAAATGGCATTCATACACATAGAACTCATCAGACAGAAAACACAGGAACCAAACTGACTACATATTGTGAAAGAGACTGTAGAAAAATATCAATTATCAGTAGTCAAAACAAGGCCAAGCAATTAATTTCTCAGATGCATGTTCAAAATGAAGATGAGACAATTAAAACAAGTTCAATGGAGCCAAAATGTGACACAAAGTTCCCCATCTGAATTTAAAAATCTTCTCAACAACAGATTTTGTACACTGAACACTAAAACCCAAAGACCAGACAAGTTTTGATATTACATCAAGAACAGCATTCATGAAGGGGAAAACAAGTCATTAAAAAGATAAAGAAAGAAAGAAAAGATAAAATGGATGGCAGAAGATACTCTGAAACTTGCTCTTTCACTAAGAGAAGCAAAGGGGAAAGAATAATGAAATAAGAGAGGTGAGAAGAAGGTTTCAAAGGGCCAGTTGAAAAGAGAAAGAAAAAATCTGATAACAGATTATACAAAGACTGGGAATTATAAAACCAAAAAGGAAGAACACAATCAGCATTTTTCAAGCTGTAAAAATTATAGAACAAATTCAAGTCTTGAGTTGAAAAACTGAGCAAAACACTGTTACAAAAAGCATAAAAAAAAAAAAAAGATGGAAGGAATACACAGACACAGGACCAGAAGAAATTGTTCCAACATTGAACCATTTCAAGAAGTAACATATGAGTAAGAACCTGTGATAAGGAAAGAAGCTCAGGCTGCACTGAAGGCACTAGCGTAAAATAAGATCTGTTCAAATGACCAAATCTCAACTGAGGTGTTTCAGTAAACAGATGCATCCCTGGACCCACTAGTCTCTATCAATAAATTTGGAAAATAGCTATCTAGCCAACTGACTGGCCAAGAGCTGTTCCCATTCCAAAAAAGAGTGATCCAATAAGAGTGGAAATTATCAAAGACTATTACTAATATCACATGCAAGTAAAATATTGTGGAAGACCCTTAAATTGGGAGCTCTGGTGGCTTAGTGATACGGAGTTGCCCTGTGAGCTCAGAAGTAGATGATTCAAATTCACCAGCTGTTCTGGAGACTGTACACAGTATAAAATGCACTGCATTGAAAAGATTTATAGTTAACTAGGTTAAAGAAAAATGCTTTATAAAGTAAATAATAAAATCCTTTGACTATAACCTTTAACTTACTGCTTCAAAACAGATCATAATTTAATAGTACATTTGTGGTATTAAAACTAGAAACACTGCATTTCAAAATGCCAAACAAACGTCTTCTTCCTAAAATAGATCATGGGCATAAACTAGTTGGCATCACATCAATTCCAATTTATAGTGATCCCTTGTTATTCTGTATAAAAATATGTTCCATAGGATTTCAGTGGTTAGTTTTCAGTAGATTGCCAGGACTTTCTACTGAGGTACTTGTTGGTATGTATACTCAAGCTTTCAAGTTTTCAGAATTGCTCATGGGGTTTCCAATGTAAGTCTTTATAGATTCAGACATTCTCACTTTTGGAGTGGTTAGTATGTTTCAACTACTAATTTTTCAGTTGGTGGTTGAGCACTGAACCTTCAGGGGTCCACATATATTAAATAATTACATACACCTTTGCATTGTTCTTGGCAAATAGTAAGTACTCAGAAACAGTTAGCTTTTGTTACTGTGGTGGTACTATTTTGCAGTTTATAATACATACCACATGTAAAAGTTGGACAATGACGAAGAAAGACCAAAGAAGAACTGATGAATTTAAATTATGGTGCTGGCAAACAATACTAAATATATTCTGGACTGCTAAAAGAACAAAATCTGTCTTGGAAGAATTACAGCTAAAATGTTCCTTAGAAGCAAAGACATCAAGACTTCATCTCACATACTTTGGGCAACACTGTTAAGAGAAAGGAAATTATCTCTGGAGTAGGACATAATACATGATAAAGAATAAAGCCAGTGAAAAAAGAAAATATCTTTAAGGAGATGGATTGGTAACAGCAGCTTCAACTACAGGCTCAAACATAACAGGGATTATAAAGACGGTTCTGGACCAAAGAATGTTCTGCTGTTGATAAGATATAGAGTTGGATTGTCTTAATGTCACTTAACAAAGTTACAATCTTTTCTTTATTAAAACTATCAATTTATAGATTAATCCTCAACTCTACCTCAAAAAAGCTTTTACCTTCACAATAATGGCCAGGTTTACTGGTCTTACAGAGACTGGTGGAATCCCCAAAACTATATATACCCTTAGTCATCTTTTGAGTTTAGAAATGAAGTCACCTCTTTAGCATCTTACTTTTAGTCAAATAATAGATTTATAAAGTGAAAAATCATATCAAAGACATATTCAGCACTTAGAACACCCAACTATATAGGATTAAAAAAAAAAAAGACAGGGAAGTAATACACAGGACTTATTCTTAAATTCTCCCTTTTTCTATACCTCACTGCCACTACTCCAATCTGAGATACTGCAATCTTTCACTTGGGCTATTATAACCCAAAAGCAGAGTTTGAATCCAGTGGCTGTTCAACAGGAGAAAGACGAGGAATTTCCTCTCATGTAATGTACTGTTTCTGAAAACCTATTGGAGGATCAGTTATGAATTAATTGGTTCTAATGCAACAGCACCTATCAACACTGTAGTCCTGATGCCTCTAAACAGAACTCCTGATCTACACATTTTATGACATGTTCTTTGAAAACATAAAATTCTAGCTTTTCATGTCTTTTAGAATAAAACTCTTAACTTCTTCCCAAAAGGCCTTGCATGAACTGGTGTAGTCAGCTACAGAAAATGAAAGTCATGACCTCTGCTATCATGCTCAGTGCAGAGCAGAGCAGGCAAACAATAATTATTCAGTAGCTGAATGAAATCAAACCAGCATTTATTGGGTTAATTCTAGAGAAACCAATCATAGCTATTAAAACCACTGTAACTTTTTAATATTCTAGGATCAGAACTCTATTGTATTTGTTGTTCAGTGCCATTGAGTAGAATATGACCCACAGTGACCGTATGAACAACAGATCTGAATCCTGTCCTATCTTGTGTCATCCTCATCATTTCTGACCTCTAAGATGAACACGGGTCTCAAGCATGACTCCTAGAAACTGTATACATACAACCAAGTTCCTCATACTAGATGATATATATTATATGTGGTCATTCCTTACCAGCTTCCTTTTCTTTTAATTGTAAAAGTGCTGGCATTGGTGGGTGAAGAAAATAACAATCTTCATGCCTTTGCTTAAATTCTTCAGCAGCAATCGAATCTATACCTAGAGCAAACCAGGCAACCAAGCCATCATCCTCTTCTTCTGGAACTTCTTTTGCAAAACTCCGTGATTCTTTCTTCATTTCAAGTTCTACTCCAAGAAAAATCAAGGTGATCTTCTCAGGTTGAGTAAAAAAATCCTTGACATCTGTGTGATTTAGCTGACAAAGCCTGACCTCTGGCTGTTGGAAACTTTCCTTATTGCCACCCAGAGTAACCAAGGGATTTAGATCTGAGAAAAGGATATAAACTGTGGCTGGATGACTTTGTTTAGCTAGGAGCCAGTCAGAATTATTTCTTTTTTCACTTTTCCGGTCCAGCAGTGTTTTGCTAAAATAATTTTCACATTCTTCCACTTCATGGGTTAGGAACCAAGGTTTCTTTCCACCTTTAGCATTAGCTAGTAAGTTAGTTACATGCTTATAACCCCAAAATTTAGCAATATCCAGTGCAGTCTGTCTTGACTTATTGACAATGGATCTGTCACACCTAGAGATAAATGGAAAAATAGGACAGGAAAATCAGTTTTTCTAGTAAATATTTCAATAAATGTGCATTATAATCCCTCTTTTTAATGAATCTTAAAAAATGATTATGGCGTCGACTTCTGAACAATAACAACCATTGAAAAACCTACGGACTATGGTTTTATTCTGAAAATATGGCATTGCCATGAGTTGTAATTAATTGATTATGCTGTTGTTGTTGTGCGCCATCAAGTCATAACCGACCCATAGATCATCCTCTTGTGGGTTTTCTGAGGCAGTTAATCACATAGGAGGAGACTGCCCATCCTTCTCTTAAAGAGCAGGTGGTGGATTTGAATTATGTGACTTCAGTACTGTAGCCCAGCTTCTTCCTACTAGGCTACCATGCTTTCCAAAATATTTTTTAAGAGGTTCTAAATTTAGTAGTGGGAAGGGTCAAAGAAATAACTTTATGAAGAATTCTTCATAGGGTAAGAAAACAGTAAGGGCACAGTGTGATATAAGGTCAATAGATAAGGTCCTTTGTTTGAAAGGCATGACAAATATGAAACAAAAGGTTTAAGCATACCATAAAGCCAAATCCATGGCATTTAACAAGTTTTATGTGCTATTAAGAGTTATCAAAATTATACAAGGGTTCTGTGATAGCCATGGAAAAAGGATTTGCATTTTCTATTTGTGTAGAGAAGATTAGACTAGTTCATAAATTTGCTTTGTCATTAAGTGTTAACAGCTCAAGAAAAGAAGTTATACATTTTGAAATTATGCTACATTTCTACTCAACAAATTGGTCTATGTGTTACTTACTAGCTCAAGTATAAGTATGGCTAATAACTTGCTTTATGTCAGAGAGCTGGACAATGGCTAAGGATGATAGAAAGGATGCCACTGAGCTGTGGTTCTCGAGAAGAGTGCTGAACATACATGGACTGCTAAGATAATAAAAGGTTTATCCTAAAGAGGGTGAAGCCAGGCTGCTCCTTAGAGGCAAGGATTCTGAGGCTTTGTCTGACCTATTTTGGGCATATTGCAAGGAGGGACTGGTTTTTGGAGAGGGGCTTCATTACTGGAAGGGTAGAGGGATGGAGAAAGAGAGGGAGACCACTGGTGAAATAGATTGACACAGTGACTAGGGTAATTAGGGTAGGTGTGTCAGATACAGTAAAGTTAGTACAGCATGGAGCAGGTTTCAGGGCTATTGTACATAGGGTCACTATGAGTCTCAATCAACTTGAGAGCACATAAGAACAATAACAATAGAAATGTTTAAAAATAAATATATAATACAGCAATTAAAACTACACAGTTTTCCAAGTAGTGAAGTCTCAAATGTTTACCCTTTCTCCAGCAGAAACTGTATAACATGTGGGTGCCCATTCCTTGCAGCATACATTAAGGCAGTCCAGCCATTTTCAGAAGTTGCATTAAGAAGAGATGGAGTAAGACTGAACAGTGATTTTAGCTTGGCAATGTCCCCTTCAGCAGCAGAACAATGAAATTGAGAAATTATTTCCTTATTTGTGTTTCCTTTTATAGAATACATTTTTCCTTAAAAGAAAAAAAAAGAGAAAAATAGGGAAACAAATGACTCATCTGCAATTCATTTTTTTTGTAGCAACAGGTAAATATTACCTAAGTATGGCTATAAATTCCAAGAATACTGAAGAGCAATGACATCAGGCTGGAGACTAAGGTGTGCCTGATCCGGGCTATAGCTTTTGCAATTACGTGCTATGCATCAGAGAGATGGACAGTGAATAGGGTTGATAGAGAATTGATGCCTTTGGGCTGTTGTGCTGGGGGAATAGTGTTGAATATGCCATGGACTTCTAGGAGAACAAACAGGTTTGTCCTAGAGAAGGTGAAGCCGGAATGCTCCTTGGAGTCAAAGATTCTGAAGCTTTGTCTGACAAACTTTGGGCATGTTGGAAGGAGGGACTGGTCCTTGGAGAGGGACATCATGTTTGGCAGAGTGTAGGAGTGGTGAAGGAGAGGAAGACCTTTGATGAGATGGATCGAGTCTGTGACTGGAGCGGTAGGAATAAATGCGTTTGAGATGGCTACGTTGGCACAGGATAGAACAGCGTTGAGAGCTCTTGTACATAGGGTCACTATGAGTCGCAAGCGACTCGATGGCACATAACAACAACAACAGTGGTTTTTCAAAACAATATACCCAAAATGGTAACTAGCAATTAACTGTCATTATAGCTGACTTTAAAATAATTATCTGTTGAGAATTAGATATGTAACTTGATATATTGTTATTGTTAGACGCCATCAAGTCAACTACAACTCTGAATAACAAATTGGAACCCTGTCCTATATTGTTATCATCTTCATGAATTGTCAAGGTTAAACCCGTTGTGGTAGTCAAAGTATCAATCCATTTCATTGAGGGTCCTTCCTCTTTTTCACTGACCCTCTACGTAAGACTGGGAAAGCCTTATGTCTTTGTCCAAGGATTGGTCCCTTCAGAAAACATGGTCAAAGTAAATGAGATAAGGTTTCACTATCCTTGTCTCTAAGCAGCAATTTTGTACCACTTCCTTCTAAAATGCATCACTCAACATATGGCTACACAAAATAATACAAGAGGCTTCAGTAATACAAATAAGAGGCCATATCCTTGGATACAGAATTACAAGTAAGATAGTACAAGGATGGATGGGTATTTAGGATAGATCAGAAAGATTTCATTGTGGACTGGCCGCAGAAAAAAAAACCCACAAAAAAACAAGCAGCAATTTCTACCTGAGGATGGACCATATTCCCCTGGTAAGCACAGATCTTTGCCCTCAGGGAAATTACGTACCTATATGCAATTATTCAAAGGCATTCTAAAATGCACATGAAAATAATTTATTGCTTTTCCTTGCACAATTAATTCAGCAATCTGTCTGAAATTGATTTTTGTGTATGATGTGAGATAGAAGTTGTTGTGTACTTTTGAGTCGATTCTGACTCATAAAGTCCCTCTAGGAAAAAAGCAGGACGGGGGGTGGGGGAGTGGCCCCATAGGGTTTCCAAAACCTATGATTATGTACACAGGCTTTCCCATCTTTTTCCAAGGAAGGTTTAGTGGATTCAAACGGCCCACATTTCAGTTAGCAGCCAAGTTCTTAAATTCTGTGTTACCAAGGTTTCTTGAAGGGTAGTTTTATCCGAATAGATAATTCAAAAGACTTAATATCAAGATCTTAGCCCCAGTATGCTGTATTATTAGCCTTGTCATAAACAGGTGACGATACATTTGAGATTTAGTACTGGACACTGGTCACTTAGTCAGTCCTTGAATCACAGTTTCTTTAATTATTAACTTTTCATTTCTTTTGTCATTGTTTATTGAAAAAGAAAAAAAAAGAATCACTTCGTACTTTTTAATAAATCTTGCTAGATCATGAACTAAATGGGTAGGACATAATCTAACCTGTATTATTATTATTATTAAAACTGTTCTCGTTAGTTCTCCTTGAACTTCTTAAAGTGTAGTTTGGTAAAATAAAATTATTGATGATGAAAATCATCAATTAACAAGAAAATATCTGCTGTTTTATGTAGGAGTTGATCACTCTAAGTAATAAGCAATTAAGCAACTTAGGCTAAGAAAAGAAAAGGTTCTAATCCATGATTTTTGAAGGTGGTTTTTGGGGTTCTAAAACAAAATGGCTTCTGAACTTTGCTGAGGGGGAGGAGCAATAACAGCTTCATTCTGAGTTTGGTCACTTTTCTCCTTTGTATCTTTCTACTAATAAAAAGTAGTTCAAAACGGCTCACAGGAAAGGAAATACTTAGCTAAAAATTAATACCAAAAATTTATTTACAACTTAAGCTTAATACAGAGTGATTTCTATAGAAGACAGCTGTTTCTTAAATTTATTTTCACTTCTTCCAGATTTAATTCACATTAAAAAGAATACGAATAGAACTCGAATGTTTATAGGGCTTTACTCTAGTTAAAGTTCTTTTCCCCTTAAATATAAATATATATGCCACAAAATGATATTATTATAGTTTCTTCAGTTTACTTTGAGCCATATTTCACTGTCTTATATTCTGAGGTCACAGTTACATACCCATCATTTCCACACTACAAATTATTTGATATATTTACTAAAAATATCGTGTCTTTCACTACCTCGGTGGAATGCTGCCTACTCATAGTGGTCTTACGATAAAGGGAGTGGAAAATGAACACTTTCACACTTAGCTTTCTCAGCAGAAAATCCATCTATAAATATTAACTATTGCTCATTCCAAAGAGGGCAGAAAGTCCAAATTTCAGCTGACTTGACTTTTTTACTGCTCACAGGTCCTCGAGAAGTTAAGGGCTTGAGAGCAGGTTGAGGTGATTCAGTTAGTTTAATGCTGCCCTTGCTTTCCAAGCAAAGCACGGAATATTCTGAGAAGTCATTTTAAATAATCTTGGGTTAAAAGGGACTTAGATTTGAGCCAAATCAGCACCCACTTTTACTGAGGCGAATAATGAGGGCAATGACTTGTCCAAGGTCACAGGGTGCTAGAAGGGCTGGACAAGATCTCAAACGTGGCTAAGCCACTTAAATATCCAAACATCATTTATGAATCTCACCCCAGGGGCACCCAAGTACTTTTAATCAATCAGCTGTCACCTGCTTCCTATGTAAGATCTCTCTCAACAGTTCAACTCCCGGATAAATGCTACTAGGGCTGTGACAGTCCTTCTTTTCCCTCCCTTATTAAGTGTCCACCAACAGCCAGGCAGGGGAGCGCGCCCCGCCCCGGACCCTCCAGGACGCCCCAGCCAGGTTCGCGCGCTGCAGCAGCGCCACAAGCTGCGCCACAAGCCCCAGCGAGGTTCCGTCCGCACTGCGAGCACCAGTACTGCAGGAACCCAAGGAACTGGTCATCGCTCCCCAAGGGGGCACAGGACCACACTAACTCGCCGCTGCTACTACTACTAACCCAGTGGTAACCACAGCCAACGATACCAGGATATAATCCAAGGACTGGTCAAAACCTGTCACTTTTCTCGGCGCCGGATGGAACCTTCCCGACTTCCGGGGCGTCTAGCATGGCTTCATGGGACTTGTAGTTTGAGAGACTAAAGAGCTTAGCTGAGGGGCAGGGCATAGAGATACCAAGGTACCTTGAATCAAAGGTCACAGAACTGGGAAAAGAGCTTCTAGCTGTCTTTGCCTTGTGACTGAGGTGATGCGTACTGTAGGAAACAGCTGGCACGTGGAAGACATTGTAAACTTTTCAAAGTTTTAATCTTCCATATATTCCAATGCAATTCTTTGGTATTAAATGAACATGGGATATTAGTTGAACCAAGTTGCTGGTGACATGGTTTTACACACATTATAAGGGCGTTCTTATGGCATCGGTTTAGAGAATTGTACTGCCAACATATAACTCATTTTATCTATCTTTTTGCCATATTATGATTGATCATTTGTGTCAGATGTCAGTCTGAGGAAGTTTGTGATGTTGTTGTTGTTAAGTGTCATTGAGTCGCGTTGAGACTCATAGCAACCCTATGCACAACGGCTCTGAACCTTGAACTATATGGAGCCAATATCGTCGTCTCCGACACACGTACCCCCATTATCCAAGTCACTGAACCAATCCATCTCATTGAGGGTCTTCCTCTTCTGCACTGTCCAGCCACCTTTCCAAACATGATGTCTTTCTCCAAGGATTGGTACCTCCTTGCAACATGTCCAAAGAAAGTCAGACAGAGTTTCAGGATCTTTGCCTCCAATGAACAGCCTGGTTTCATCCTTTCCATGATGAACCTCTTTGTTCTCCTAGAAGTTCATGGTATATTCAATATTCTTCTCCAGCACCACAACTCAAAGGCATCTATCATCTATCTCTATCATCCCTGGTCATTGTCCAGCTTCCTGATGCATAGCAGGTTATTGGGAAGACCATGGAGTGAATTAAGTGCACCTTAATCTACAGACTGACATTATTGCTCTTCAGTACTTTGGAGAGGTCCCTGACAGTAGATTTTCTCAATGCAGATGGTCTTTTTATTTATTATTTTCTGGCATGAGAGTGTTGACAGAGGAGCCAAGTAAACAGAAACTGTTAAAAATCTCAATCTCTTCATCTCTCATGATGTTGTTGTTGTTGTTATGTGCCGTCATAGCGACCCTATGTACAATAGCCCTAAACTCCGCTCTGTCCTGTGCCAATCGCACTGTCTCTGACACTCCCATCCCAATTGATAAACATAACAAAATCTCCCATCAACTCAGATAACAGTTTTAGTAATTATTGATGATATACTAATCATTATTTTACTAGATTATAAGATAATATCTAAATTTGCTCATTCTCTCTATATCTGCTAATTATATTTGTTTTTAAATAAAAATATACTTTTCAACCTCATTTTCTATTTTTACAGTTGTACCTGGAAGCAAGAGGGGCATCCACTTCCTAAATAACATACCTCTGGAAACTCTATGAACTTTGATAAATGACAATAGTTATAGAAAAGCTTCAGGGTGTTTGTTCATAGAGTCTCTATGAGTCGTAATCAACTCAACG